AGGAGAGGCTACTCCTTGGAAAGAAACATTATATCATGCTCAGAAAGGTGGAGAGTCAGTGAAAAAGAATACCTTCAACCAGATGGATTGACACAATGCCTGCAGCAATAAGCTCCAGGATGTCTGAGATGATGAAGATGGCACAGGAAAGGACAGAGTTTAGATCTGTTGTTCATAGGGTCTCTATGAATTGTACTCGATTTGACAGCACTCAACAACAACAACATAATTCTTGGTTGACAATTGTTTTGTTTCAGATTTTTGTTTACTTAATCTCAGTATTTTCTTGTCTGCATGATTTCTGCTTGAGAAATAGAGCTTAGTCTTAATGTTCCTCTTTTGTAAAGAACTCTTCATTTTCTTGCTTTCAGTATTCTTTATTTGTCTAAGATTTGGGAAAATTTGTGATTATACCTTGGTGTTCATCATTTGGAGTCTATTTTATTTGACCTCTTATTTAGCTTCTTGAATCCATATTTTCTCATTTTTTTAAATATTTGGGAAGTTTCTTCTAGCAAATTTTCAACAATTTTCCAGGATCATCATCTATGTCTAGGATCTTTCGAGTTTTGTTTTATTTTTTCATCTCTAACATATTAATTTAATCTTAATACTCTTTCTCTCTCTTTTTTATTATTATTAATTTTAATGAAAGTTTACATAGACTTTGGATTTCCATTCATTCCTTGTTGCATTTTTCTCCCTGTCCACCCCTCCCCTCCCCCAGTTCTCTCTTCTCTTTGAAAAGTAAAAGAAAAATTATTTCATTGTTATATAATCCCTCTCCCCCACTCCACTATGCAGCCTTCATTCTGGACTCTTGTCATGACAATAATACCTAATCATATATCACTCTTAAACAGTTCTCTCCCTCATCTGTTTTAATGCTGTATGTATTATTTATTCCCTCTTTCTCAGTCTCCCCCAAACCCCTATTTTAGTTCCGTTTTACAGCAGTGGCACTATGCAGTATTTGTCCTTTTGTGACTGAGACATTTCACTCAGCATAATGTCCTCCAGAGTCATCCATTTTGTGTAATATTTCATAAGTTCTTTGTTCTTTAATGCAGCGTAGTATTCCATTGTGTGAATATGCCAAAGCTTCTCTATCCACTCATTTGTTGATGGGCACTTAGGTTGTTTTCAACTCTTTGCTACTGGGAATAAAGCTGCAACATACATGGGTGTGCATATATCTGCTTGGGTGGCAGTTATGGTTTCTTTAGGGTATATTCCCATTAGTGGAACTACCAGGTCAAATGGTATTTCTATTTGCAACCTTTTGGAAAAGCGCCATACACCCTTCCATAGTGGTTGCACCATTTTACACTCCCACCAACAGTGAATAAGGGTTCCATTTTCTCTGCAACCTCGCCAACATTTGATGTTTGCTGTTCTGTTAAATTTTGCTAATCTTACTGGGGTGAGATGATCTCTCATAGTTGTTTGGAGCTCTGGTTTTTGGTGTCTTGCTGAAGAGCCTCTGGATTTAGTGAGACATCCTACTGGAAGTCTAATTTAATAAGCACGGTACCCATTTAAAGTCACTCTCTACTTTCCTTATTCTCTCTCAGTCCCAAGCAATAACTAAGCTACTTTCTATCCCTTTAGATTTGCCTACACTGGACATTTCATCTAAATGGAATAATAAAATATGTGCCTTTCACTTACAACACTGTTTTCAAAGCTCATCTATGTACATAACACAGGTACACACTATATATGTATATATACATTCATTTACCAAATGGTGGACCTTTGGGTTATTTATTTCCTTGAGATTTTATTAATAATATTGATGTGTGTATCTAGGACAGAAATTGTTGGGTCATACGGTAACTCTTTAATTAATGATGCTCAGAAATTACCATCATTAGATTACATCTCAACATAAAGAAAAATTTGCCCAACTGAATTAATAAGCTTCATCATGATAGATGTTTGAAGTTGTCAAGGATTTCATTTGACTTGGATCTACAATCAAAATACATGAAGCAGTAGTCAAGAAATCAAACTATGAATTGTTGTTCGTTGCTGTTTTGTGCCATCCAGTCGCTTGTGATTCATTGCAACCCTATGTACAAGAGCTACTCTGAACTCTCTGCTCTATCCTGTGCCAATCTTATTATCTCTGACACACTTACTCCCATTACCTCAGTCACTGAATCAATCCAACTCACTGAGGGTCTTTCTCTCTTAGTGTCCTTCCATCCTCCCAAACATGATGTCCCTCTCTAAGGGACTGGTCATTCCTTGCAACATGCCCCAAATACATCAGAAGATAAAGCTTCAGAAATCTTGCCTCTAAGGAGCAGCCTGGTTTTACCCTCTCTCGGACAAGGACAAACCAGTTTGTCCATGGAATAGTCAACATTCTTCTCCAGCACCACAGCTTAAAGGCATCAATTATCCTTCTCTTTTCCCTATTTACTGTTCAGCTTTCTTATGCATAGCAAGGAATTGTGAAGTAATGACCTGGATCAGGTGCACATTAATCTCCAGACTGACATCGTTACTCTTCAGTATTCTGGAAATGTCTCTGACAGCAGACTTCCCCAATGCAATTTGTCTTTTTATTTCCTTACTGCTGGTACAAAGAATGTTTATTGTGGAACCAAGCAAATGGAAGCTATTAACAATCTCAACCTCTTCACTGTCTATCATGATGCTATCAATCAGCCTAGTGGTGAGAATCTTTGTTTTCTTGATGTTGAGCTTTAGTCTATATTGAAGGTTTCAGTCCTTGCTCGACCTTCTACAGCAGGCACTTCAGGGTCCTCCTCAGTTTCAGCAAGTAAGGTGTCATCTGGCAAATCTGCTACTAAGGATTCTTTAAAATTTCATTTGTTTCCTATGTATGTGAAAATTTGAAAATGTGTAAGGAAGAATGAAGAAGTGATGTCTCTGAAATGTGGTATTGGCAAAGAGCACTGTGTATACACAAACTGCCAAAATAAGAAAAATCGTGCTAGAAAAAATGTAGACAGGGTGATCCTTAGAAGCAAGAATGGAAAAACTCCTTCTTAAATACTTTGGCCATATTATCAGCAGGAACTGGTCCATGGAGAGGGTATCATGCTTAGAAAAGTAGAAGGTCAGTGAAAGAGAGGACGACCCTCAACAAGGTGGCTGTCACAGTGACTACAAGAATGGTTAAGCACAGGAGAGTGTGTGAGGATGGCACAGAGTCCAGCAGGGTTGAACTGTTGTATGCAGGGCTGGTGTGAGGTGCAGCCAAACTGAAGCACCCACCAATAGTGGTAACTCTAAAGCTGCAGACTTTTCCACAGCAGCTCCATGATTTTACTTTACCACCAGCACTGTATGAAGGTGCCAGTTTTCCCATAGCTTTCCCAACACTTGTGACTGTCTGTCTTTATTATGTCTTGAAGACTTTTAATGCAGTTTTGAGAATTCTTAGGGTGGAAACTATGAAGTAGGGAAGGGGGAAGCTACAGGGTCACTCTTAGATATGGAGTCCCTTGTGAGAAGGGACTGGATGGCATGGCCTGGGCCTCTGCTTGATTGAGGCAGGCTAGGTGGCTCCCTTTCTAATGGGGCCTAATTTATAGCATTGTAACATGCTTAGTAGGCCTGGACACAAGGCTCACTCACTCACTCATTGTTGAGTCATGCTTAATTCAGAGATGACCCTCCAGCAGATTTTCAGAGGCTGTAAACCACAGGGGAGGAGATTTTCCAGTGCTCCCTGAGAGCAGCTGGTGCATCTGAACTACCTGCTTTGGGATTGGCAGTACAACTCCTTCTCCACTAGGATACATAACAGTTACTATTTTTCAGAGGCAAGACATGCCCAGACCCTGAGATTAAATTCTGTTAGAGGTGAAGTGCGAAACTGAGAGCTAAAGGAACATTCCAGTTTATAAATATGGGATTAGTGGTGGCCTAGTGGCAAGAAGCTGCCCTGCAATCCCAAAGGCACACAGTTCGAGGTCACCAGCTGCTTGGGGGATGGCGAGAGGGAAGGATGGGCAATCTCCTCTTGTACAATTAACTGCCTCTGAAAACCCACTGGAGAGTCAGCAGTAGGTCGGTTCCAACTCGACAGTCCCCAACAACAATGTTATTATTGATAAAAACATAACTGGACAGCCTGCAAGAGGCTACAAAGCTGTGGTGACTGTCTGAGCTCTAATATGGAAAAGACCTGGTGCAGCTAACAAAAAGGTCATGCCTGGAATCAACTACCCCTTCTGTGGGAGAAAGAACAGACATTGAGACAGAAAGACAGATAAAAAAATATATATATAGTTTATAGCTTTGTAAACCCTATAGGGTAGTTCTACTTTGTCCTATAGGATCATGATGACTCAGGATCTACTGAACCGCAAAGAGTTTGTGGGTTGGTTTGTTTTTGGTTGTTTTGTTGTTGCTGGTGTTTAATTTAAATGGTATTAAGAGGTCTGGTAGTTTAGTCCATAGGAACTGCAATGCTAACCCAAAGGCAGAGCCTCTCTGGCAGCTCAGGGTTAGAATTACATGAAAACATTTACCCTAGAAATACACAAGTTTCTTTTCTAACTAAAAACACTCTGCAGAAGAGAGATGGGAAGTCTCCTACCCAACACCTGCTGGGGTTTTGCATCGGCTATTAGTCAGTTACAACTATGACACTGAAGCTTTTATCAGTTTTTATCTGGTTATAAAGTTCCTGTTCATGCACATTATCCCCCTTTAAGTCACCGGACAGCATATAAGGTCTTTCCTTCTTTCTTCTGGATCATGACCTCACAGGCCGGATGAACTGACAATGATCAACATCCATCAACATGCCTCGGTGAGGTCGGATTAATATCCACTTCCACCTTCTCCAGACCCACTTGCGGCCTAATTTAACCCTAAAACCCAAACTACAGAGGTTGTGCCCAGTCTATGGCTGGGAGCCCCAGGGTACCAGGGTAGGCTGAGACTATGCTAGGACTGGCCTCATAGGGTGTGGGACAGGCAACCTTAACTAACTTGCCCATTGTCGCCCTCAGGGCCCTCATTCCCAGCTGGCTGAGCTGCACCGAAGGCGACGTGACTTGCTGCGCAGCACCTGCCAGCAGCACACGCGGCGCCAGCGCCTGCTGCAGCCTGAGGACCTGCGGCACGTGCTGGTGGATGACGCGCATGGCCTGCTCTACTGCTACGTGCCCAAGGTGGCGTGCACCAACTGGAAACGCGTTCTGCTGACTCTGAGCGGCCGAGCCGGCAGCGACCCCCAGGCCATCCCCGCGCACGAAGCGCATGCGCCGGGCCGCCTGCCCTCCCTGGCCGACTTCAGCCCCGCGGAGGTAAACCGACGCCTGCGCGCCTATCTCACCTTCCTCTTTGTGCGGGAGCCCTTCGAGCGGCTGGCGTCGGCCTACCGCAACAAGTTCACACAGCCTTATCACGCGGCCTTCCAGCGGCGCTTCGGCACGCAGATCGTGCGCCGCCTGCGGCCTGGGGCGCGCCCGGACGCGCTGGCCGGCGGCCACGACGTGAGCTTTGCAGAGTTCCTGGCCTACCTCTTGGACCCGCGCACGCGCCGACAGGAACCCTTCAACGAGCACTGGGAGCGCGCCCACGCGCTCTGCCACCCGTGCCTTCTGCGCTACGACGTGGTGGGCAAGTTCGAGACCCTGGCTGAGGACGCAGCTTTTATTCTGGGCCTGGTGGGCGCTCCGGGCTTACATTTCCCAGCGCCGCCCAGGAAGGCCAGGTCAGCATCTGCACGAGACCCCACCCGCCTCTTTCAGGACATCAGCCCTTTCTATCTGCAACGCCTTTTCGACCTCTACAAAATGGACTTCCTGCTCTTCAACTACTCCGCTCCCTCCTACCTGCGGCTGCACTAAGCTACCAGGGATTATGACCCAGCCTGGCTGGAGGCTCAACTGGTCAGAGAAGGTACATTTCTGGCCAATGTCACATGCAGTTGATCTTTCCGACCGGGGATTCCAACTTTGAGAATTACAGCGCTGGCCCCACCAGGGCCAGTCTCACACCTGGGTGGATCTAGGTGTAGCTGACTTTATGACAGTGTGTTGGTGACTGGCTTGTCTGTACCAATTGGAGTGCACGTCCCCACTACGTTTGAGAGGAACAGTTCCATACCAAGCTTTTCGGTTGTGCAAGGTCAATTCTTATCTGCTCCGGGCACAACACTAAGGCCTGGCTGAGTGTGGCGGCCCATTTTGGCCCCTGCGCCCACCTCTTTTTCCCTCCCAGGGGCAGTGTGAGCCAAAGAGAGATATTGTCCCTTGAGTGGACTATCCCCTAGACTGGGCTGATCGAGGAGCCAGCAGCCCTTCACAGAGAAGCCTTCCTATGCCCATGGCTGTCCCAATCTCGGCCGACTCCACCTTGAGTTCTGTTCTAGGTAATGGGTTGCCCATGTGTGCAGCAAAGCCCATTGTGCAATATCACAGTAGGTTCTATGGGACCTGGCTGAGCCCAGGTGGTCATATTTGTGAAATAAATACACAATTACTTCCTGACTTTGTGAGTTTCTCTCCTTTTTGTGCCATCTTGGACAATCTCTGAGCTTCTGTTTCCCCTACTATGAAATGGCTCGATATCCTTGGGGTGGTTATGAAGATCTAATGAAAAGATGGATCACCTGCACGGTAGCCTGAAGAGGTGATGGCTGGTACAGGGACTGTGTGTGTGGGGTGGATGGACCATGTGAGGGCAAGAAATTCTGGCTCCAGAGGCCCTAGTGACAACCTGGAGAAAATGGAATCTCAATGTCAGAGAAGCTAGCCAGGTCGGATGCTTTGTGCTGCCTCCCCAACTGTTCTCTCTCTCTCTCTCTCTCTGTAAACTTGTCAGAAGTTTGCAAAGAAGGACAGAGTGTGCCTCAGTTTTTGCATGAATTAAAATCTCTTTGTAAGCCTTCATGCAAATACAAAATAATTTAAAAAATGAAAAGCAGAAACAACACCAAAGAGAAGTAGCTGAGCAAGTCTGAGGTCAACTCTGAGCATTGGGGACAAGTGACCTAGTCACGCTGTCGTGCTGGCCTGTGAGTACCCAGCCAGCCTGGAAGCTCAAGCACGAAGACACACACACACACACACACACACACACCCGAGACTTACTCATGCCCTAGTCCTCTGTTCTGAATGGATCATTATGAATCACGAACACACACACACACACACACACACCCCAGAGACTCATGCCCTAGTCCTCTGCTCTGAATGGACACACACACACACCGGAGACTTACTCATGCCCTAGTCCTCTGCTCTGAATGGACGGATACACACACACCCCAGAGACTTACTCATACCCTACCTGGGTGGGGCTTCTGCAGCTGAGTTGCCTGAGACCTCGTCACTGCCTAAATGCCTTTCCCTGACCACAGAGTTACAAGAAACTTGGAATCCTTGGGACCCTTGGGGCCCAGTGCTGAATTAAGATTGAGGAGCCTGGGGGCCCAGTGACAGCCAAATAAATCTGTCTCTGTCTCTCTTTCACACACACACACACACACACACACACACACACACTCCCCTGGGTTTCCATCTCTGAGCACCCTGGCCTCACACACTCTCTCAGGTGCTCACACTGTTAGGTAGTCCTGCAGGTTCAGCTGTTAGCACACTCACTCAGACCACTCAGAATTTTGTTCCAGACTCACTATCCCCCCACTCCTCTTCTCTGTGTTCTGGGCTCACTTGTCCCACGTTCTCAGAGATGGCCTATCAGCTGTTGTAACACACAGATGTCACATTCAGGTGCATCACAATTCTTTATATCCTCTAACTTGGTTTTCATTGCCTGCTGTCATCTCTCAGTTCCACCTGCATTCACACACTTGCCCTATGCAGTGCACGCATCTGGGTGGGAAGCAGAGATCCAGCTCTGAGTCAAGGTCCTGTGCACGCAGACCTGGAGGTGCTCCTAAGCAAGGCCATCCATGATACCCATCACATGCAGGCAGTTCTGGCCACGGCATCTGCTCAGAGGCCCTGCTGCCTCTCCTCGGGCAATGCTGTCTTCCCTGGTTTCCTCTCAGATTGTCACCAGATGTCTCTGACCTCATATATCATAGGATAAATGCTCTGGGCTGAGTTGGACACACAAAGCTAAACATGAGGAGAGGCACCTCAAGCTGACTCTGAAATTAGCACACCTTTCAGGCTCTGATGTTAACATGTTACCAACCGAAAAGACAGTGGTTTGAATCCACCACCTGCTCTGCAGGTGAAGGATGTGAAGTCTCCTCCTGTAGAAGAGCTACTGCATTAGGAGCCCAGTAGAAGGTCACTGTGAGTTCGAAGCAACTCAGTAGCAGTGCATTTCAAAGGATGACATTCGGATGGCCAACAGACACATGAAGAATGCTCCAAATCACTGGCAATAAGAGAGATGCAAATCAAAACCAAAATGAGATACCATCTCACCCCAGTAGCAGTGACAAAGTTTAATAGGACAGCAAGTAATAAATGTTGGAGAGGTTGTGGAGAGATAGGAACTATCATACACTGTTGATGGGATTGTAAAATAGTACAGTCACTCTGGAAGGCAGTTTGACGCTTCCTCAAAGAGCTGAATATAGAAATTCCATATATCCAGCTATACCACTGCTAGGAATATACCCCAAGGAAATGAGAACTGAGCACAAATGGAGATTTATATACCAATGTTCATAGTAGCATTCATTATTCACCATTACAAGAACACGAAAACAGCCCAAATATCCAACCACATGTGACTGGATTGAGAAATTGTAGTACATGCATATGATGGAAAACTATGCAGCATGCAGGAGCAATGATTTAGAAAATTACTACACAACTTGTGAGCAACTGGAGAGCATTATGTTGCATGAACTAACTCAGCCTCATAAGGATGAATACTGCATAAGAGCATTATTATAGAAATAGAAAACTAGTAAAATGTGTATGAAGAACAAAGTGAGGGGGAGGGTGGGAGGAGAAGGGTAAGGCAGGGGAAAATCATAGGGTTCCACAATGTGGTGAGTAAAGAGAAGGATGGGTCAAAGAAATAGAAAAGATCCCAAGGGGATCTGGAAAGACAGGGTGATGATGGACATTGTTCAATGATGATTAATTTTATAAAATATTATAAATGGGAATGATTGTATAAAACACAGTATGAATGAAAGATAGTGTGAAACACAATGCATATGAACTTTGTAAGCAAACCAGTGTTGTTCTTATGTGCTGTCTACTCTCCTGTTACTCATAGCAACACTATGTACAGCAGTTCTGAATCCTGCCCTGAGCCAGCCTCACTAATTCTGACACACCAACCCCTATTTCCCCAGTTACTATATCAATTAATCTCATCTGGAGTCTTTGTCACCTGCGCTGTCCCCCCAGCCTTCTGAGCATGATGTCCTTCTCCAAGTACCGGTCTCTCCTGGCCATGTGCCTGAAATATGTGAGACGGAGCTTCAAAATCCTAACCTCCAAGGAGAAACTTGGTTTTACCCTGTACAAGACTGACCTATTTGTTTGCTTGGCAGTTCATGGTATGTTCAAGATTCTTCTCCAGCACCACAATTCAAAGGCATCAATTCTTCTGTCATCCTTAGTGTTTGTCCAGCTCTCTGATGCATAGCAAGTAATTGTGAAGACCATGGCCTAGATTATGCACACCTTAGTTTCTAGACTGACATTATTGTTTTCAATACTCTGGAGAAAACCTACTCAGCAGATTTTACGAATGCAATTCATTTTTTGATTTCCTGACTGCTGGAGCCAAGCAAGCTGTAATTGTTAATTACTTCAATCTCTTTTCCATCTATATGTTCCATATTATACAATTATATGCAAACATTTTTAAAGTGTTTTAACTTTTTAAAAATTTTATACTGATTTATTCACAGTTTGAATACATTGTTTTTCACACAGAACCTTTCCATTTCCTTAACACACCTTTATCAAATGATTAACACCCCCAAGCCCATCCTCACCCCTCTACTTCCACACTCCCCCCTTGTGTCCTCATAATCATTCTACAATAATTGTTTTATACTGTATTTTTCCTTATGGGACTGAGTTCACTCCGCATAATACTCTCCAGCCCTCCAAAGTTAGGTAGTCATTTACAAAATCATTGCGTCTGTGTGCTGCGTAATGTTCCATTGTATGAATGTACCACAACTTCTCAATCCATTCGTTTAAGGTTGGACATCTGGGCTGTTTCAATGTTTTTGCTGTAGTTAATAATGTTGCTATGAACATTAGGGGTACAAGTCTCCATTTACGCCTCAGTTTTCTTTTTCTCGGTATATTCCACGATCTCAGAGAAGAGTCTCATAACACAAGTTTATAAAATACTCCTGGGCCTAGTAGCAGCAGCGCAGGGTTCCTGAGGGGAGGTGCTCCTCGCGGTGGTGTTTCCTGAGGAGCAGCAGTTCTCACCACAGCTTCAGGGCGAGTCCGATTCGTATTTGACCTCGGAGATCTTTCTCATCTCGCTCGGCTGCGGGAAATCGGGCTGAAGCGACTGAGTCCATGATGAAGAAAACTTTAGAAACTGTTCTTTGGAGAGGAAAAAGAGAGAAAAGGAACAGTTTCATAAACTCTTTATTGGTGGCTTAAGCTTTGAAACCACAGAAGAAAGCTTGAGAAACTGCTACGAGCAATGGGGGAAACTTACAGACTGTGTGGTAATGAGGGATCCTGCAAGCAAAAGATCAAGAGGATTTGGTTTTGTAACTTTTTCTTCTATGGCTGAGGTTGATGATGCCATAGCTGCACGATCCCATTCTATTGATGGGTGAGTGGTTGAGCCAAAACGTGCTGTGGCAAGAGAGGAATCTGGAAAACTAGGGGCTCATGTGAAGAAGCTGTTTGTTGGTGGAATTAAAGAAGAC